GCCTCTCTCGCCCTACGCGTGCGCGCCGCCCTTCGGGTTTCCCTAGTCCTTGTCGCATGCGGCTTCGCGCGCGCGCCTCGCATACGTCACCCATTGCCATGGTCTCGCCTAGTCCCGTGCGGACTAGGCCTCGCGCTCTGGTCGCCCAATCGCACGCCAACGCGCTTGCCCAGCTGCCGCCGCCTTCCTCATTCGCGTGTGCCCCATCGCTCGGCACTCCTAAGCCCGCAAGGTTTAGGCCTTGCACATGCGCGCCCCAATCGCGCGCTCTCGTCCGTGCGCCCTCGCTACTTGCGCGGTTGCTGCCCACGTTCGACGCCCCCATACTCTTCTCGCGTTCGCCTGCCAGCCCGCGCGTCCCGTCGACGCCTATGTCCCGATCGCCTATCGCGCACCCGCGTACACCCGCGGTTCTATGCATATCGCCGACGCCCGCCGCTTGCCTACCTCCTGCACACGATCGCGCATCACTTGCATTCAACATCTTGGTGTCGCGTCTCCGTTTAACGCCTCGGCCCTTCGACCTCTTGCGCGCATCATGGCATGATGCACGCCATCCGCCCGATAGCCGATCCTCGCCGATCCCTTTGTCCCCCGACGACCATGGATCCCAACCATCCAACCCAATACAGTCACCTGCACGCCATATCCAGCCATCCTCCATTCCTAGCCTTCCTCGTCTTTGAAACTCCGAACACCACGCCCGTTTCTTCCTAGTGCACGGCCCACAACATTGGCTCGCCTTTTGCGCCTTTGTTTTGCATCGTCTTTTGGCCCGGCGCTTCCCAATCTTCAACTTGGCCCGTGGACCACACCCTTTTGGCCAGTCTCTCTTGCATGATGGTCGATAAATCGAGCTTGATGGCTCTTCCAACATGTTTTCCAGCAAAATATCGAGACCATCGCCATCCTCGTCGTCCGACTCATCGGGGTTGATGACCACTTCCGTATCACGCGCGCTGTCGCGTTGCTGCGGTGCCGCTGGGCATGACCGGATCGCAAACGTGCGCTGGCAACGCTGCGGACAATATAACTGGCATCATATGGCCTGCTGTCGTGCGGCTTCGCGCGCTGGCGCGCGGTACCGTAGGCTGGTGTGCTGGGCTGGGCGTTGCTGCCGCTATGTGCGGACAGCACGGCCTAAGGCCGACCCTTGCCGGTTGTTCGGCACTAACTCCCGAACATTCTGACTTCACTGAATATGATATGACTCAACATGAACATAATTATCAAAATGACTTAAAAACATAACTTTTGCACGATCAACATGAAAGGGGCCGTGGCGAGCGCTCCTTGCGTGTGCGTGCCGGTACGATACTCGCCGTGCGGTACTCCGTCAATTGCCGTGCGATGACTAAGGAAGGCTTATGGGAAAATTAAGGGGATACTTGCTACTGAAGAAGGATAATATATGGCTGATCGTCTCTTATGGAAAAAGTGGAAAATTTCCATCCAAACTCATGCTTATATACTTAGTGGCCGTGGGATGGTGATGACGTAGTGAATGCGTGGCCTCTTAGGCCCTTGCCAATTGCCCTCTTAAGGCACAATTTAGGGTGACTAATTATCTTCTCTTAATGCCACGTGCCAAGCTTAATATTGAAGAGAAAATTGGTTCCTTACTACTTAGGAAAGAATTACCAAATGAGGAATTTTATAATAAACCGTACGGCTTTTGCTACTCTTAGGAGGATTTAGCACGGTTTTTGGGTTTAGCTTAAGGATTAATGCTAATTAATCATCTTTTATGTCTAATTATTTAATTAAACATAATGCTTAATTACAAAAATTATTCCGAACGTAATCGAAAATAAATTTCGGTAATCTCGACTGAAATTAATTTACTCCGAAAATAATAATCGATAACATTATTATATCAGAATCAAAACATAATTTATACTGACAAAATGATGGGATATTACAATTCTCCCTCCTTACAAAATTTCCGTCCTCGGAAATTCAAAACATAATTGATATACATGAACTATGTACATAGGATAAAGGAATATGTGCATTAAAACTAAAAATCTGGGAAGCGGGCGCGAATATCAGACTCTTCCTCCCAAGTAGCTCCGTGGCGATCCCACTGAATACGCACGAGGGGAATATCTCGCTTCCGGAGCCGACGAACCTGACGGTCTAGTACAGCTACCGGTCGCTCCTCGTACGATAAATCTGGCTGAACCTGAATATCCGTATGCGGAATGACATGATCGGGGTCGCACACGTACTTACGTAACATCGATGCGTGGAAAACATTATGAATGCCTGATAACTCGGGAGGTAGGGCTAAACGATACGCGACCTCGCCTACTCGCTCGAGAATCTCGAACGGACTGATGAAACGAGGGTGCAGCTTCTCTCTCTTTCCGAATCGTACAACTCCACGAATCGGACGAACTCTGAGAAAAGCTGGCTCGCCAACCTCGAACTGAATGTCTCGTCGATGATGATTGGCAGAAGATTTCTGTCGACTCTGAGCTGTCCTGAGTCTCTGCCGGATCAACTCGACCTGCTCCGCTGTCTCCTCGATCATCTTAGGACCGAGTACTCGCCGCTCTCCGACGTCGTCTTAATAGAGAGGGGAACGACACTTGTGTCCACAAAGTGCCTCGTAAGGAGCCATCTGAATGGAAGAATGATAGCTGTTGTTATATGCGAACTCGGCGTATGGCAACAACGACTCCCACTTAGCACCCCTGTCAAAAACCAAAGCGCGAAGCATATCCTCAAGCGTCTGAATGGTCCGCTCTGACTGACCGTCCGTCTCCGGATGGTAGGCTGAACTGAACTCTAGCTTCGTGCCCATCGCCTCATGTAAACTGTGCCAGAATCGACTGACGAATCTGGGATCTCTGTCTGATACAATCGTGACGGGCACTCCGTGGAGTCGGATGATCCCACGGGTATATATCTCAGCCAACTTGTCCAAAGACATCTTCATCGAAACGGGTAAGAAATGCGCGACCTTAGTCAATCTGTCGACCACGACCCAGATAGCATCGTGATGTTCAGAAGACCTCGGTAATCCCGTAACGAAATCCATCGTGACTTCCTCCCACTTCCACCTCGGAATCGGCAGTGGCTGTAGGAGGCTGATCGGACTCTGATGTTCGGCTTTGACTTGCTGACAGGTAAGACATCTCCTGACGAACTCGGCGACATCCTTCTTCATGCCTCGCCACCAGAACGACCCTTTCAGGTCGTGATACATCTTTGTGCTCCCGGGATGGGCCAAATAGGGTGCGGTATGAGCCTCTGATAAAATCTCCTTCCGCAACGCCTCGACCTTCGGGACCACGATCCTTCCTCTGAACTCTAAGGCACCATCGACACCTAACTGAAAATCCTTGACGCCTCCAGCGCGAAACTTGGCCTCCATAACACGAACAAACTTGTCAGAAACCTGCTCTCACCGGATTCTCTCTCTCAGCGTCGGCTGAAGCTGCATGGCACTGACACTGGCACTGGTACTCCCTGAAACGGCTATGGGAAGTGCATCGATTGCCTGAAGCTGCATCCGGGCAAACTCATGAATCAACGGACTCTGCTGCGTAATGACGTACGTCAAGTCACCCTTCACCTTTCGGCTTAGAGCGTCTGCGACGACGTTCGCCTTCCCCAGATGGTACTGAATAAAGCAGTCGTAATCCTTGACAAGTTCGAGCCAACGGTGCTGCCTCATTTTAAGCTCCTTCTGCGTAAAGATATACTGCAAGCTCTTGTGATCTGTGAAAATCTCACAACGCCCGCCGTAAGGATAATGTCGCCAGATCTTGAGCGTATGAACTACTGCTGCTAACTCTAAGTCGTGCGTCGGATAGTATTTCTCATGAGGCTTAAGCTGACGTGAAGCATACGCGACGATCTGGTCGTCCTGCATAAGGACACATCCCACGCCCTGTCTCGAAGCATCGCTGAAGATAGTGAAACTCCGAGAAGGATCGGAAATAGTCAACACCGGTGCTGAAGTTAACCTCCTCTTGAGCTCCTGAAAGCTCGCCTCGAACTTCACAGACTTCCTCGTCAGCTGGGAAAGAGGGAGGGTGATCTTAGAAAAGCCCTCGATGAACCTACGATAGTAACCAGCTAAACCGAGAAAACTGCGAACCTCGGACGGACTCCTCGGTGTCGACCAGTTCTGAACGGCTGAGACCTTAGAAGGATCCACCTCGATACCTGCCTGAGTAATCACATGACCCAGAAAGGATACTCGTTGGAGCCAGAACTCGCATTTGGAGAATTTGGCGTACAACTTTTCTCGTCTGAGGGTTTCGAGAACCACTCTCAGATGCTCCTCGTGCTCTTTCTGGCTCTTCGAGTAAATAAGAATATCGTCAATAAAGACAATAACGAACTGATCGAGGTAGGGATGGAAAATACGGTTCATGAGGTCCATGAAAACAGCTGGCGCATTGCTGAGACCAAAAGGCATGACGACGAACTCGTAATGGCCGTAACGAGTCCTGAAAGCGGTCTTAGTGATATCTGACTCCTTGATCTTCAGCTGGTGGTAGCCTGATCGCAAATCAATCTTTGAGAATACGCAGGCTCCCCTCAACTGATCAAATAAGTTGTCGATCCTGGGAAGTGGGTACTTGTTCTTAATCGTCAACTGGTTAAGATCCCGGTAGTCGATACACATGCGAATGGATCCGTCCTTCTTCTTAACAAAGAGAACGGGTGCTCCCCAAGGTGACACGCTCGGTCGGATGAAACTGAGTCGTAACAGCTCCTGAATCTGAGTCTTCAACTCCTGCAACTCCTTAGGCGCCATACCATACGGGGCTTTGGATACTGGACTGGCCCCTGGGATGAGATCGATAGAAAACTCCACCTGACGGTTGGGCGGTCCTCCTGGAAACTCGTCTGGGAACACGTCCACAAACTCACGAACGATTGGAACATCGTGAGGTGATCGCGCTTTTTGAGAATCGTCGACAAGGCTCACCAGATAACCCTGGCAGTTGCCTCGTCGCAGTAGCTTAGTGGCTTTCGCAATCGAAACAACCTAAGGCAGTGAACGATTCTTGGAACCGAAGAAAGTGATCGATTCGTCTCCCGGAAGATAGAGAGTGATCTCCCGGTCATGACACCTGATGTCTGCATGATAGAAGGATAGCCAATCCATTCCGAGAATAAGGTCGAAGTCCCTCATCTCGAGAACAAACGCGTCGGCAGTCAATACTCGGCCACCGATGGAAAGGCTAAGATCTGAGGCTTTAGCTGAGGTCACTATCTTTCGTCCCGAGGCTAAACTCACCTCGAGAGGATCGACAGCGGTAACGGCGTGAACTCCGATGGCATCGAGACATCGTCGTGAAATGAAGGTATGTGTTGCTCCAGTATCGAATAAAGCAAACACAGGAATATCGTTGAGAACAACCATCCCTGACATAGTATCTGGCTGCTGTGCTGCCTCTGCCTGATCAACCGCGTAAACCCTGGCCTGTTGTCTGCCCCTCTGCTGCTGCTGCTGAAGCGGCCTCTGTGCCTGCTGACCTGTGCCTGCTGACGTGGCTGCTGCTGTTGTGGTGGCGGTTGAGGCTGCTGAGGCTGTTGCTCGAGTCTCTTCGGACAGCAACTCGCAAAATGTCCCGGCTCGTGGCAGTAGTAGCAGATGTCCTGTCCTACATGGCACTCTCCCCTATGAAGTCCACCACAAGTCGGGCACAGTGGAATCGGCTGTTGTCTCTGTCGGGTCCTCCGGTCAGTCTGTGCACCCTTCCCCTTTCTCTTCTTCTCCTTTGCCGGCTGAGGGGCTGGTAGAGCTGGTGGGGCTGCGAATGGCTGAACTGGCGCGGATGGCTGAGCACGATCACGAACTGCCTCCCTCCTGATACTAGCGTCCACCTCATGGGCGATAGAGACTGCACGAGCGTAGGTCTGCGTCCCGTGTCCCACGATGTTGTGACGGACTGCTGGGAAAAGCCCGTCAATGAACCGCTGCGCTCTCTGAGCCTCCGTGCGAACCTGGTGCGGTACGAAAGCTGCAAGTCTAGTGAACTCTCGCTCGTACTCATCAACTGTACGAGTGCCCTGCTGAAGCGCTAAGAACTGACGCTCCATCTCTGCCCGATAGTAGGAAGGGTAGTACTTTTCACGGACTAGCTCCTTGAACATGTCCCATGTACATCCCGCTTTTTCACTGGGACGCATGCTCCAGTAGGCATTCCACCAGAGCCTAGCATCACCAGTGAGCTGAAGCTGAGCGCAGACTACGCGATACTTATCGGGGCATTCCATGACTTCAAAAATAAACTCCAAACCCTGAATCCATTCATCAACGATGCGGGGATCTCTCTGCCCTGAGAACTTTTCGGCGTGATAGTCGCGGAACTGAGCGACTACAGTAGACTGAGTAGGAGCCGGATGATCGGGTTCCCTACGTGGCGGCATCTGAACATTGAGAAAGTTTAACATTACTGAATACGTGATAACATTCTGACTGATTACTTAAGCACACAAATCTCTTGACGAGTCTCCAAAAGTGGCCGATGAATACTGACGTGAATCCTGAAGAACTCTAGAGTCATATAGAGAGATACTAAAGTCTAGAGTCATATCTGACTGCCTGAATTCTAGAGTCATGTCCGAATACTAAAGTCTGAACCTGATTTGAGCATCTTAACTAAAGTTCTGATCCTAAATTCTGAGCATAGACAAAGTAATATGTTTATAACTGAAAACATAAATCAGCACTTACCTGTCGTCGGCGGAGCGTGAGCATGACGGTTCAGGTTTTTCTGAAAAATTATTGACTGAAAAACTTTTTCAGAGACGCAGAAACGTGCTCTGATACCATTTGTAACACCCCTCCTTATTGTTAAATCAGAGTGCAAAAATTTCGCAAGGTTATTTGAAAATAAAAGCTTTTTACTTTGCGAAAACAGATTCGGGGTGCTACCTCAAAATCGTTATTTGTTTTGGAAAACCGTTACTTAAAATTTTTAATAAAATCATCCGGTTACTGAAAGCATGAAGTTTTCCAAAAGTTCGTCAAAATATAAGTACATCAAAAGTCATCAAAAACATCGTCAGCGGAAGCGTAAGTCATCATAATAAA